GGTGGCCGCGGCCAGCCCGCTGCCACGAGCTGGCCTGGGACACATCCTGCAAGGGTCCGGGAGCCAAGGACGCAGGCACTGCGCGCCCTGCCAGCTCGCACAGCGACGAGGCACCACAAAAGCAGATGCAAGGGTCACTGTGAAACTTCCTATTAAAAAGCATTTTTTATACCTTATTTTCATACCTGTTTATATAAAGGCCTGCTTTTCTATCAGCCTGCTGGAGGTATCGAGCAAGAAACTGCCACCGTTCGACCGTGCAGAGCAGTTTGCTGCAGGCGCACGACTGCAGGCCCCAGACACGCTCCCCGGCGCCTTTTGCTCCGATTTCTTTTTGGGTCTGAAGCTTCCCAACTAAAACCTTCGGGCTGGTTCATACTGCAGAGCACGCCATGTCCAAGATTCATTATCACAAAAGCTGCTATTCCAGAGGAACGCATTTGCAAGTTAACGGTAACAAGGGTGACACCGAGGAGAAGGAGAAACTGCTCACCACACTTGGGGTTTGCGTCTCCCCAGGGAGCTGGCGGAAAACCCCAGGGCTCACCACGAGGGCACGGGGCCCGCATGCCCCCAGCGCCCGTCCCGGAGTCGGGGCCTGGAGCAGGGTGCGGGCCTGGGGATTGGAGGCCGAGACTCACGTGCAGGCAGCAGCCCCGAGCATGGCCTGGCTCCTTACCTCACCCTCAGTCACCGCATTTCTCCTACTAGTTAAGGAAGATCACAGTACAACATAAACAAAGTAATTTTTATTTAAAAACAATTTGTTTGGCGGCGGGGGGGAACAACACATTCAAAGAAAGTGTAGAACTGCACTTGTACTAGTGTTACCTACTGGAACAAATACAAAACATGGTTTACATGGGTATTCAGATGTATGAATCTAACGTAAAAAGTTAAGTAACTTCAGAAGGAACAAGCCACTTCACTTTCATTAAGAGAAATTATCAATTCAAAGGTGGACTGGAAATCCAAAGCTAGAAGTCAGACCTTATTTTCATCCTAGAAGTAGCAATAGTTATTTTCAGAGGCTAAAAACTTCATTTTGCTCCTTTGAAAGGAAAGCACAAAGCCATCTCTGTATTTAAGCAGATTTTTTTTCACTGATATATTGCATCTTCACTTCCATACTGCAACTCACTAGATCTTAAAATAAACTGAAATCTTCAACCCATCAATTAGCAGATCTTGAACAGAACTTCTCCTTTGAAATCAGCAGGTACCAAACAGACCAAGAGTTGCAGGAAAACCCACCACCAGCACAGAAGAGCTTATTTGTGCGAAACCAGTTTCATGTCTTATATGTTCTGGTTCTGCAGAATTCCCAGTGATCCAGATTCACTAGCACTATGCATAGGATCACCTCGGAGTTAGCAGTCATCACAACTCACCTGTCATCCAGGTGATTAACATAAAAGTACTGAGCTGCTTGCTGGGTTTCCCCTCAGTGTCATGTTTCCTTTGGGAACAAAAAGCTCAGAATACAACCAAAGCATTGGTCACGATTTCCCCCTCAGCTGCTGGGGGGGGGTGGATCAACCCTGACCTGCTGAGAGTGTGCAAAGATGCACTCAGCTAACCTTCCTCACGCTCTAGAGTCTCTAAAGCCACAGAGGCCAGTATATTTCTAATCAAATCTTGTATCTGTAGCGCCAAAAAAAAAACAACCCACATACCACCACACACCCCAAAACCAAAAAGTCAGCTTTCCCTCCTGTATAAATCAGAGGGCCTCCAGTCCCCTCCCCTCCCAAATACAAAATCTAGATTTGCACATCGTGAAGCAAAAGAGCGAGAGGAGACAAATTAGGGTATTTACAGAAATTGAATAGCTTAACCTATGAGAATTCACAAACATTCGTAAGAGCCCTCAAATATATTCCCATCACAACAATAAGCACAAATTAATATGAATGTTTTTCTCTTTCCTTCACACTGTGCTGAGATCTGTTCAAGAAGTAGTAACAAAGTAGTCCGTATAACATTCCAATTTGCTTTTAAAAACATCTGGGATATTTATACATATAAACAGTAAAAAAAAAAAAAAAAAGAACGTCTCTGAAAGTTAGGTCATTCGTTCATTGACTTGATCAACATTCAAAGAATGATTCTCAGGTCAGCAAACGTTTTTCAGAAATAAGACAACCCTTGAAACAGGGGCTATTTCTGATTATTAAACCCTCAAGCTTATGCTTGCAGCTTATAGTGCTCTCCAGTCAATGGGCTTCTTGCCAGATTTCTTCAGCAATTCATTTGTTTTAGAGAAATGCCGACAGCCGAAAAACCCTCTGTGCACAGACAGAGGTGAAGGGTGAACTGTCTGCAGAACATGGTGGCGTTTCTGTAAAACGTTAAAGGAAATAGCTCGTTAGATTTGCATGCTTTAGCTCCTTGGACAAGGTTGGTTAGTTCTGTTACTAAGCAGATGCAATTTCTTTTCTATATTTCCTCAGTAATCAAACAGAGAAAGAAGGGTCTTAAAAAAAAAAAAAACAACAGAACTCAGCCAGAAGCTTGCACTCTTGCACTGAGATTTTTAGTCCTACTGAATAGAGAAGAAGGATGGACTATTCTAAAGCAGTAATACCCAAGGTATTTCTAAGTCATTGTAATCCTAACAGCAACTTTATACTTATTCATGGGAAATTTCCTAGAAACATCAGCTCTATCTACTGGAGGCTTTTCTCACAACAAAAGGTTACACCTTCTCCACTTTTGTTGCTTAATTCTGGTAAAGACTAACTTGAAACAGAAGGGTAATTAAACTTGGTGGCAAATAACTCTCAATTAAGAGAGGGAAAAAAGCCCAACTCCATAAGGAAAGTCCCCCCTCTAGCGTCCACCCTTTAACTTAAGAAAAAAATAGAATTATGGAAAGTAACTTGTACCCTGTCAATAGAACTGCCTTTCTTCTGTGCATATGCTCCCCACAACATGAAGACAACTCCATGCAGGTTCTTGTTTAGCCAAGACACTACCACATCCGTGAATTGTTCCCAGCCTTTCTCCTTGTGGGAGGTTGCTTGGTGAGCTCGCACTGTGAGGACAGCATTGAGGAGGAGCACTCCTATCAAACAAACAAAAGAAAGGGATAGAGGATGAAACAAAAAAATCAAGTGTTAACAGCTCCCTCCTGCTTTCCCCCCCAATACATGATCAAGTAATTCAAGTACTTCCTTTCTAAGGTACTGCTAAGCAGTCAGAACTCAGAACAAATACTTACTTTTACAGAGGGACTGTTTCAAACCATGGATCTGTTTTCTAGATAGGCCTGAGGGCTTGTTTGTGACCCATAATGCAAGTGTTTCTAAAATCTCCATTAACTTACCTTGCTTGGCCCAGCCAGTTAGATCTCCATGACCAGGATGAGTGAAGTCTTCAATATCAGTAGACAGCTCTTTGAAAATATTTTCTAAACTGCAAAAAAAAAAAAAAAGCAAGAGTAGATTTTAAACTAGGTTTCAGGAACAGTCTAATGATCCAGTATTCAGATATTCAACAAAACCTATGTAATCAGGCAATCAGCTAACTAGTAGGCCTTAATCCTGCAAGCATTTCTACCAGCACTCAGATGAGACAAACTCACTACAGACAATTAACGAAAGATACAGTTGCACTCCTAGAAGTTTGCCCATTTAAAGATACAAGCAAACAGAGCCACTTGCACTGGACAAAAAAAGTAAACTAGTTTTAATCCAATCCTTTAAGATATTCAAGCCATTTGTAGAAGCGGGGCAACAAAGCCTCTTTGTGTGCCCGGCTGGAAGCTTTCTCAAAAGGCCTCGTTGCATTTTCAGCTGTGGCTGAGTCCAGTGTGCTTGTCAGAATACCACTGAACTACATAGTATTATCAATGTTTTTGTAGCGCTGCTTCTCTGGGGAGCGCAGAACTTCAGACTCAGTAGTTACAACATATTTCTTATCACTTACCAGACGCACAACAACAAGTAACACAGGGTTGCAAATAATTTAACTCAGTAAATGAATGAATTTTGGAAGTTGAGTGCTACCATACCTGGGGGGTGGTGGAACAGGTTTCTGGACACTGAAACAGAGCCCATGAGCTTGATTAGGTCCATGATATGGATCTTGCCCCAAAATGACAACCTTTACCTGAAAGCAGACCCAGAGCCCTGTTAATACTGCCAATCCAGTAATTGTAATCAGAATTCTTCTTAAAAGCACAAGAAAAAAAGCTCCTAAGTAAAATTTATTCAAAAACCTGCTCCCCAAAGCAAAAACCCATACCCCCACACATCTGAAATTAAGCCACTGACATCTCTCACCAAATACACATCAAAGAATAAAGTTCCTATCTAAGACTAAGGACTAACATCACCACAGATGACGCTGCCAAGAACACAGAGATGTTGTGAGCGCAAGAGACTAAAGTTCTCTATGAACTCCAATAAAACAGCTTATGAAAATATTTTCCAAGGAAGCTACCTCAGGTTTTATTTTTATGCCATATCCTTTGTGATAATTATCTCTGCAAACACAGCTTACTAGAAAAGGGACTAACTTAACCGCAATAGTGTATATATATATATATATATCTTTTTATAATTAATCTACTACAGATTGTGAAAAAGCCAAGAGAAAGTCAAGTGTTTAGACCCCCCCCCAAAAAAAATAATCAGGCATTGCAGAAAGTTACTGACACAGGAAATAAGATCAAAAGTCTAACTAAAGCGTTAAGGAAAATACTGCTACTGATGCAATAAAACAATAAAGCCATATCTCAGTAACGGAAAAAAGGGAGCCAGGATCTTCAGATTACGCAAGAGAAACAGCAGCATCCACATCACAGGGGACTGAAGCTGAAGAGAGGACCGAACAAGCATGCCCGTGCATCTAATCCTAGTAACCGAGTTTTCTTTTTCCAAGCAAGCAGCGGGCAGAGAGCAGCCATCCCCATCTCCGCCCAGCACCTGCGGCTCTACTCACGTCTCTGATGTCACACATCTGCGTCCAGGTGAAGACTTGGTCCGGGGGCGGATAGACCGTGCAGCGCTTCCTCTCTTCGGCTACGAAGGCCATCAGCTGCGGAGGGGAGAGAGCGGGCGGGCTCAGCCCAGGCGACCCCGGGGGCGGCGGGGGAAGGGGAAGGGGGGGCGCTCACCTCCATGAAGTAGGGCTTGGAGAACTCGCCGGCCAGCTGCCGCCTCCAGCTCTCCCCGAAGCCGGGGGGCACGTTCCGCTCGGCCAGCCGCCCCC